TATACGATTATACGAACTGACTAATACTTACGTCAATTCACTCTTCTCGATACATATCCGTCAACTGGCGTAGGACTTAATTAAATACAGTAAGGGTGACTTCTACCTCTAACTATTGATAGAACTAGACATTCCATCCCTATCTTAAAGTTGTCAACAGGTTTTAAGTCGAAATGGACATAATTTGAGTGGGTCACCGAAGATTGCGCTGATGTATGTTGAATGTTCATTCTTTTTAACCATGTCAAACTAATGGGAGTTATTGTAAGCTACAGCATCTTGTATGTCACCTCAACTATTTCAGTGGCAGAAACTGTGGTAGAAAATAGGATAGCCTATATGATAGTGAGTGGCTCCTACCTGTGAGAGGCTCCTAGAACCTTGTTCGTTTTGAGTAAAAATTGGCGATACCAGTAGTTGTAGTTGGTTTATGTATATTGAATGTCTACTGCAGCATCCAAAAGCCAATGCTTCTACTCACAGACCACTATGTAGCCTATCACAGTATGGGATTCATACTTGGCGTGAGTGTATATTTAACCTCAAATTGCTATCGATCGACTAAATGGGACATTAGGACCGGAGACCGACTAGAATAGTAGTGAGGGTAATGAGTTGCGGTGTCAGATTTGAAGAAGCTTGTTTGGACGCAACGTTAGCTCGTTGGAGACCTCAATTTACTGACAACCCTTTTTGTAGTCTCTTTTAGTGGTAACAATCCATTGCCCCTCCTTTCCTCTCTTTTATGGTTATATTACCTTGGAGTAAGTACAAAAACCTTGGTGAAGAAACAATAAAAATCGCCTCACCAGCTCTCCAGTTGGATAGGAGGAGAGAGAGTGACCAGGTTTGTGGAAGAGCCAGAGCACCACATTAAGAATTTCTATAGCCTTTCAACTTATAACAACTGTAATTTAATGAAGATAATTTACAGTTAAAAATATTAGTTTACTTAACCCTCTGCAGACAGCCTATAGTAGTTATACAGAAAGAAAAATTATTTCATTTTAATGGAAGCTAAACAACTTTTTTTATATCTGTAGGCCTAATTTATAGAATGTTGTAAATAGTTGACCTATGCATCACTTTTTTGTCCAAAATAATTTTTTTATAACTTTTTCTTATTTCTTTCTTACTTTTAAAATTGTTTTTATTTAATATTTTATTCTCAGTTAAAGATATAATTGAATAAAAGGACGTTGTCATGAAGATTAATGATGGTATAGACAACCAACTATAACAATAACTGTCATAATAATCGACGGATTTATCCGCCTACCATCCACGGAGCCCCAAAGACCGTCCGCTATGCACAAAATGCTAACTGATATATCCACCTATAGTCCAGGAAGGATTAAATCAGTGTTGTAATTTGTTTGAAGTATGTCCAATATGATTTACTCAAGCGATTGTTGTTGAATCTTTTGAGTATGGCCCAGGATTTTCACTATTCAAAGTCAAAATATGATTCTTACTATTTTTTTGTTTCAGAAACATTACGGAAGTATCCAATTGCATTTGGTCTTTTAAGAGAATGCACTCAGACGTATCAAGTCCCTGACAGTGATCTTGTCATAGAAAAGGGGGTGAAGGTGATTGTACCTGTTTATGCCCTTCATCGAGACCCCAAGTACTTCCCTGAACCGGAGCGCTTTGATCCGGAAAGATTCTCTACGGAAAATAAACAAAAAATAATTCAAGGAACGTACTTACCATTTGGAGACGGCCCTAGAATCTGCATAGGTAATTATTTTTCCATTATATTATTACATTGCTATAGGCCTACATTTACTGTGGAGTATAATATAAAAATCCTGTTTTTTTCCTGTTTTTTTTTCTTTTTTAATAACTACTTCTGCGAAAGATGTTTTCTTGTCGTCTTCTGGGCTAGACTGTGTCGCCAAGCTGAATAATTTGAATGCAGTAAATACAGTAAATTTAATGCAAACGTCTGATGATACTGGAGTTTTCATCATCCAGTAGTGAAGGCACTACAAAAACTACTCCTTCACTCTCATAACACCTTCACTACTGGGTTTATGCCCATATGATGGAGAACAGCTTGGAAACCTCAGCACTCAAATACACACACACCAATACACAGATGACACTGGTTAACCAAGAATGAACCGAGTATATATCTTGAGGCAACCATTAGAGTCAATATTGTTAACTGCTTCCGCATTTAAAAACTAGCAGCAATGATGCTTATATAACTTAAGTAATTTAAGTCTAAACAACCACTTTTCCAGGTCTGCGGTTTGCCATGATGGAAATGAAGTATGCCTTCTGCAAGATCCTACCAAAGTATGAGTTCACACTAGGTGAAAATATGAAATATCCTGTTCAATTCAGGAAGAGCGGAGCCCCACTTTTGGCCCCAGAGGGTGGAATTTTGCTCAATGTTAAACAAATTGACGACTGAGCAAAAAGAAAGGACAATTATCATATTTAGTGAGAAGAGCCTATCTGATTAGCTGTAGCTATTTACCTTTAGGATTTTATTTTGTCATTAAAATATGTTTAAACATATTCTATACTCCAATATATAAATATACACTATTTTAGTTAGTATTGAGCCAGCATTGACTTTAAGCACTGATATTTATAACCTAGTCAAAAATAATACTTTGATCTGTGAGGTTGTTGCAGTTGAATTCAATGGATGCCAAAAAAGTGTTCTGAAACTAATTTATGATTAAAGATGTATTACTGTAGTTTGCAAATGATGAATAAAAAAATACTATCACAAAATAACTAGCAAGAACGAACAAAGATGAAATTCTAACAGAAATAATCCTTTCCACAAGCCCTTATACCAAGAAAACAAAATGCTCCCAAACCTACACTTCTTTCAGTAACTTCCATTGTACATTGAAACAACAATTACCAATTTTTTTAAGAATGGACGTTTTATTAATTAAAATTGACTAGTTGATTGTCTGTGATAGAAATCAAGCAATGTAGCACTGTATAATTATTTATACTGATGATATACATACCTAATATAAATTATATTAGTCGTAGTTGTAAATATAAAATTTTATCATCCAATTATACATTTTATTCTAAATATTGTTTTTTTTTATCCTTTATGGTGTACTGGTATAATGACTACATGAACATTCAAGGTTCAAGGAGGGAGGGGGCAGGTTCATTAAACCTTTTAAACTTAAAAACCTAGGAGAAACTGACATTATAGCTAGGTCATATAAGACTAGAGGTGCTTGGTGCTTATAAAAAAGCTGATACGACAGGTAACACCAAGTCTTGAGGCAAGCCATGAATACAGCTTTTTTCCTGCATCTTATTGTATGTCCAGTATGCTAACCAAGTGGATACGACAGTTGATTTTTGTCTAAAATTGGGAAATCCATTGATTTATAAAATTATGCTCCATTCCTTCCCGTACAGCCTGCGTTGCACTAATGTTAATATGTGGGTAATTTGGATATTTGAGACTTAATTGTGGACTTGAATTTTAAAAATGTCTAATCAAAAGAACTGATAAACTATTTTTAAAATATTGTTACTACATGCCTTAAAAACCTTTCCAGTTTTGATTTCGAAAAAATGTGATACTATAGGCAATGAGCAATAGAGTTGTACCAGAATGAAGTTAAAAGAGTCGGTCCAAAAATTAGGTTGCTAGCGTGGGTAATTCCCTAGGATCTGAAAAGTTGGATTTCGAAACACATATGAGTCTTTTATCTACTATTAACGGTGGTTTCAATGGGGGGGGGGCTTTTAAAGAGTAAAAAAAATGAATTTAAAAGTATATTTTGCCATAAAATCGTAAATATGGTTTTTGGACACGAATTGGTCAAAAACTCACTTTTTACTCACAAAATTTACAAATAGCAAATTTTGGGGGTCCTCCCTCTCCTTGTGTGCAAAATCCCCGTTTAGCCCCCTGACAAGGTATTAGAACTGACACTGAGTAGAAACTATTTCAATTTATGGATCTAAAAAATAATTTCAACCATTGACATACAGTTTTATAATATACTATTAATTAAGCATTTGTATCCGACAGTTTGATGTAACTCATTTCTTTTTTTTAGTCCAAATGTTTTTTGGGCATTTTTATCCATTACACTGATTTTTTAAAAGTAAAATAAAGAAACAGCGAATTTAATAACTTCTACAGCAACGTTTCAAGACATTTGGGTACTTATTTAGGATCCAGACCCCATCGTTCTAAAATAACTTTTAAACTATTGTATACCGGTACCCTATTATGCACTTTACTTTTTTACATTTTTTTAGTTATTATAAGCCATTAATATTTTATAACAGAATTTTTTGTAAATTTTCTGACACATTTTATTTTAAGAGTCTATTTGAAATCTAAATCAACTAGTACCTTATATCATTGACTATATATACCTACAGCTTATATCCTTTTCTTGTTTAGCTTTTTTAGTATATTTTTTTTATAATTAATACTCATTGACAAAAATACTTTAATCTGATTCTATTATCACATAAATGAAATGGGTATCCAAGCCAATTATATTTCATAACAGGATTTTTTTTTTTGTAAATTTTCTGGTAAATTTTATTTTATAATTCTATTTGAAATCTAAATCAACCAGTAACTTATATCATCCTTGTTTAGCTTGATTTTAGTTTACATTTTTATAATTATTAATACTCATTGACAAAAATACTATAATCTGATTCTATTAATCACATAAAAGTGAGTATTTTATTATATTAAAACTGCAGGATCCCACCATTCTTAACAATGACATTTCCTGTGACTTGACTATTAACATTGACTATATAACACTACTTGTGTATATAATATAACTAGTAGTGTTATATAGTCAATGCTATTAATCTATGGCACAGAGCAAAGAACGCATGAAACTTGAAATGGAATGGTATGTTGACGTTGGCAACCATGCAAAATAAACTTTTTTACTGAATTAAATGATGGCGGTTGGTTCTGGTTGTTGGTTGTTAGTTGTTGTTGGTGTTGGTAGGTTGTTTTGTTAAAATAACTGAATAACTCGCTTCCAAATTCCAGTGTCAGTGACAGTGTCTCTCTAGTCCGGTTTTTTTTATCTCCTTTTAATAATTTCATAGAGTAGGTTAGTTATTTTGCCATTTAAATAGGTTATTAGTTTTTGTTGAAATCATCGTTGCCAAGTTGGTTTGGCTGTTGTTATAAAATACAGGAAACTAACTTACTCTACTGTCAATATGATTCTAATTTCTACTCTCTCCATTCCTCTGGATTCAGACAGGTAAAATCTTTACTTATTAGATAACTTACTAACTTAGGCCTTTAGGCCTACCTAAATCGTTCATCAATGTGATTTGTCATCATTGGTTAGGCCTAATAAGTTAATTATTACATTATTACTAAGTAGGCTAGGGTAATTATTCCGTATAGGGTAGGCCTAGGTGCCTCCAAACAAATTTTTAGTTTTGATATCTTACTTTATAGTTTTTTACCTCCTGAATCCAAATATAGCCTACCATAGGTAATTTTAACCACTGATGAATATTTCTCGAAAGATATTGCCGTAATAACATGGGCCTACAACATTTTATCAAGGTAGGCCTATACTTACTTTAAGTTTGGTCGGCCGCTTAGAAAGCTACCTCCTCTAGCATTGGTAAGCGTTAGCGCGCAGTTACACTTTTCACTTTCTAAGACCAATAAGTTAAACCATTTGGCAAATATTTGATATATCAACAATGCGATATCGTGTAATTTTTAGATGTCTACTTACAGTATTTTTCACGCTGAATCCAAAAATGCAATCAGTTTTTGTCGGAGAGATTCATAAGTGGCTGTAAAACGAAGGTTAAAATTACGAATCTATGGTTCATTGAGCTATAGGCCCTACTGATGGTAATACGGCGTGGTCTGGATGGGTCGGTATGTGGACTGTGTACTGAGTGAGTAGGAGAGCAAACATCTGTTTATGCTAGACTTAATGCGGAATGAAATCAATTCGTTTTGAAACCAAATAATCAGGCCTTATATAGGCATGTGAGGAAGGTAGGTCAGGTTTTATGCGGATTTGTGACTGTATTAAGTGTTTTGAAGTGAGGTTAAGTTGGAAGGTAAAGGTTAGGTTATAATGAACCGACTCATTAATTTATGCTACTTCCAGACTGTTTTTGCACAATTAAATAGTGGGTGAAACACAATAAAATAATGATATACCCTACTTAAAAAATGCGCAAGCATTTTTGATATTGTTATTCCATTGTGTTTCACCCTTAACTTAATTACATACACTTGTTACCTGCTCATAGATAAGGTAATAAAAGGTCCTAGCTAGATTGCATTTAGGTACTTATTGCTATTATTTTTGCCACAACATTGTCTTACACTTTTGCTGTCTCAAACATAGCTATGGTAACTTTAATTTACTAGTTTAAATGGTCCAGTTTTGTCCAAAATACAGTTTATGTTGGGTTATCGAAGTTCCACTTCATCAGTGACTTGATAAAAGCTGGGTCCCAAAATAAAAACTGCTGTCTTAAATAGTTTTGATGATAGACTCCCTACTGTAATCGTGGTAATTTTAGATAATGCTGTTATTATAAAAAAATCTTGAAATTAACCAATTTAGAATAAGCTTAGTTTTAGCTAAAGAGAGTAACTTATTACCTGTGTTTTCAGGAAGGCTTAACCTATAGACGATTTTAGAACAATTAAAATATATCTTCAATACCCTGCCCATGGAAGATGATACCTCAGAAGATTTGTCTAATGATTCAGAATACACAGGTAGGCTAAACCCACAACTCTTCTAAAGTCGGGACCACGAAAGTTTGCAGTTGAGGGAGGAGCCTATTTACCACATGACTTCGAAGGAGCCAATAAGGACAGTGCGGTGTTGCCAAATCTAATAATACCAGCTGATTTGAAAATATTGTTTAGTATTTTAATAAGTGTCGTCAACGGGCGATATGGCAACGTCGCACTAGCCTTGTCTTGTGATTGGCAGCCACCAAATGCAATCTTTTGTGGTCCCGACTTTAGGAATAAATTTAAGTCTCAGAATCATGTGTCACTTTTAAAATATCTGTAATGAGATAAATTAGGTACCCAACTTGTAAAAGATTTGTCCTAACAAAATGATGTACTGTAATGACATAGAATAAATAAACAGCAGTCATATGGTAATTTCAATTGAATTAAGAGTGTTTTTGGCCTCTGGAAACATCAAAAAGAAAAGTAAATCAGTTTTGGGTCTAGCTCTTACGGTGCCACCTATGGTAATAGCCAATAGAGAAATGCACTAAAACTGTAAAAATCTATTATGATCCACCAACTTAAGGACTTAACATTCACTAACTTAGGGTGACCCGGGGCAATTCTGGCACGGGGCAATTATAGCAATGGCCTATATTTTTTTTAAATTTCAGCTTTACAGATCAGTGAAGCAATATTTGTTATTTCAGCATATACCTCCTATATATAGGAAAGCATTTTTGTAAAAATAAAATGTTTGCAGTAATTTTTATTAGCGATTAAAAAAGTACTTTCTTCCACAGCCCGAGGATATCGAAACATCGCACACGGCTAATTTTTTTTCCCCTATGAATTTTATATTTTATTTTTTTTTATACTCAAAGATAATTGTTCAGACTTAAAACTTCATGAACAAAAATAGTAATAGCAGTTATCCCTTTAAGATATTTAAATTTAAATGGGTGCTATAATTGCCCCATTTTCATATGCTATGGGGCAATTGTGGCAAAGAACCCGGGGCAATTATGGCAGCTATATATCTTTATACAAATAATGTATAAATTAAAGAATAAATTGTATAACAACGTGTGTTATGTGTAATATGTTTCATTTCAGTTCATTTGGATGGCTTTGTAAACACCTTTTGCTTTGATTACTCTATGGCAGCCTGATTATTTTTATTGTTTATTGTTGCTAGAAGTTTTGAGGTTAAGGCTCTTGTACGCTTGTACTGTCTTACCGGTTTATTCACAACTTCCTTATAAATAGAGATAGAACAAAAATTAAAACACCATCTTAAACAGCTAAATTAGGCCTATGCCATGATTGCCCCAATGTCAGAGCAATTTAAACAATAAGGAAAATATAAGGTATTGCTATAATTGCCCCAAGGTTGGGGCAATTCTGGCATCTGACACTCCAAAAAAAAAAAACCTCAAACCCCCTTAAGGGGAGTTTGAGATTGTTGTCTAAATATATGAAAACACTAGAGGAATAACATAGAATTACTATGGTAATTGTCAAAATAAAATGAAAAATATGTTCACCGCGGTACAAGCAGTTAAAGTTAAGGTTCACGTCTGGCTGCCAGAATTGCCCCGGGTCACCCTATACTCATAACTTTCTCTGAAATGGTTTGTTTTCATTTGGAACCCCTTACTGCCACATTCTAATATTATCAATATTTGTATGTCATTTTATTTTCAGGATTAAGCTTAGTGTGAAAAATAAGAATTTAATGTCCACAGAAAACTGTACAAACATTATTTTGAAGTTCAGTGACATTCATGTGAAGTCTGCATTATTTATGTGACCTAATTTGTTTTAAATTTAAATTTTGCTAGGCCTATGTTGATAATCTATATATCTCTATGAAATACCTGAGGTGTTTGATCACCTATAACTTACTATAATATGAGTAAAGTTTGCGCACAATGATTTAAAAAAACCGATCCAACGATTTCCTCTAAAATGTTAGTTTTAAGGCTAAAAACAATATTCATGGTAGCTACCGTTCTGGGAAATTTTGTTTTTCGTTAAAAACTTAAAAAGTACCTAATTTTATTATTTTTAACATTAGTATTATGGACATGAAAGTTTTAGTAAAATGTAAATAAATGAATTGTAGCATATGCTTGTGACAAATCAACTACAGTACAGAAAGCAAATTACTAAATACAGTAAAAATACCCCCGCCGCAGCAAACCTGCAGACTAAGTGAATTTCAACTTGTCTGATTTCATTTTTACAAAAAAAATATTTCCATAAATAAGACATATTTATTCCCAATTTAAATAAGATTAGATTTAACCAGTGTTTAGGTTTGCTGCTATGGGGGAGGTAAAAAGTGTTTTTTGACCATAATGTCAATAGTAGGCTATAGAATGAAATAAATAAATTTGACAAATTTTATCAACATATATCCATAAACAAGTAAAATACAACAGTTTTCATTTTCTCCATAAGAATAACATGGGAATTTTAAATTACACTTTTTTTTAATTTTCCGGTCACGGAGAAAATTCAAAAAAAGTGTAATTTAAAACTAGGCATAAAACAGCGCTTCAGTATAGGCTACTAAATTATTTCTTTTTTTAAGCTCTACAAAATGGTTGAGAAAGAAATTGCAAAAATTTTTATTTTTAGGGTTAAAAATGGGAAAAACCCATTTTTACCCCATAAAACCCCCCATAAACCCCTGTTCCCATGGTCCGATTATGCTGGTTCACGAATTCGTTCGAATAAACGTAAGTTTACACGTTTGTACCAAATTTCATCAAAATCGGATAATATTTGCTCGAGTTATCGTGCTAACGGACACATATATAAATATATATATGTATATATGAATTTGAACAGATGGTTTTTTGGCCTTTGGGGACCTCAAAACGAAAAAGTAAATCGGTCCCGGGTCTAGGTCTTACCATGAGACCTACGGTAGGCCTAATAGCTTATTCCCTATATGGGAAATTCGCTAAAAAGGAAATTCCTACGAATACTATTGACTATTGAGCATTGATTATAATGTAGTAGTTATATTGTAAGAGTTTCATTTAAAATACTATAGGCCTACATAGGCCTAGTCTACAAAGACAAAGCAACATGTCAGATTGTTATTATTTCTTTCAGGAAAATTGAGAACCAAATTAATTCTTTGACTATCTGAGAATAAAGGTATTATTACTGTAGGCTACCACCTACCTTATCAACAGAACTAGTTTATTATGAAATGCTTTAGCAGTACCTATGTTAATGTTAGTTTGGTCGATATTTTTGCAGGATCTTTTTTGACCGACACTGATGCAGAAGAGGAGTTATTGACGTGGGACTCAGAAGACTCACGGCCACCGGGGCCCTCCCCAGACATCCATTTAGACATTCCTTTTATTGATCTGGTAAAACAAGCTTCTTTTACAAATAAATAAGCATCAGAATGGACAAGATATAAATGTATTATTATTTTCTGTCTATTAACTGTCTGGTATACTGTTATTCTTTCGATTGATTATCCCTTCTTTCCCAAATTGAAAAACCCCTGTCTGTGTGCGGAAAAAAGTGAATAAAAACCATGTAATAGCTAATAAGATGTAAACACAGTCACCTAGGCCTACAAGTAGGTCTAGATAGTAAAAAATAAATGTAGGGACCTATTAAAAAACATTGGTAAATGACATCTGCAATTAAAATATGATCAGTTTCGCCACACTAATATTGGCAATTTAATTTTTAAGACGTATAACTATTGGAAAAACTAGTCTTAAAAAGTCTGGAATTAGTCTTAAGTTTTAAAATGGAAGTAAGGTAGACACCCTGTATATATACCACGTAGTTTTTCACCTAGTTAATCTTAAATTTGTTAAAATAACAGGTCACAAATCAACCTGTTAGAAGAAGAAGAAGAGGACTTACATTATCTATCTCTACCTCCTCCTCTCAGGTATCAATTTAATTATACATAAAGCTTTTAACTTTTTTGACTAGGTTTTTGTTGAGATAAAAAGTGTGTTATTGCTTATTTTTTTATAAAATAGAATGGATCAAAAGCTATTACAACACAGGCAGTTTAAATGATTTACAAGTGCTAGAGATTATGACTCAAAAGAGTTAGCTTTAAAGGAGTAAACAAGACAAAGCAGCTAATTTACATCCACACTCGATTTATAGGAAACGCCAAAAGAAAATATCCATAATTGTTTGGGATTGTGTGTAAAGCATTCTTAAAGAAAATTGACTAACAAGGATATTCAATATTCATTATCTAATTTATATTTTATATTTCATAATTTATATTTATTAGTGTAAACATAACTTCATTACTTCTTAAACCTGTCTATTGACTAAGAGTTGCACCAATGAATCCATTGAACCATTGAATATATATTTTTAGTGAATCAAATAACTTACTTTATGAAGTGAAGATCTTTATTAAAAACAAAGTGTTTACAGGTCTCAAATAAAACTAAAATAGGTAGTCTTTTTAAAATCAAAATTCCTTATTTCTGAGGTATTTTTTACTTTGTAATTTACACTTACTTCGTATCTCTTTTTGGTTTTGGTGTAAATAACAAAAAACATATTTTTCCTACAGTCACCCGACAAAGTTGGCTTCCTTGTACTGTTTATAGTACAGAAAGCTGCTAATTGCTGCATATTTATACTTTGCCGTACGGTTTATACTTTGCCGTACGGTTTATACTTTGCCGCACATCAGGATTCCAACGAAACAACACAAAACAGCGTGGTTCCATTATGCACGTAATCCGTGTACGCTTGGAAATAGGTTGGCAACACTTAAAGATAATTATACTATGAGCAGCTGATTGACTATTATAACTACGATTTAACCTGTCATTTCGTGTTTATAGTTTCGGTATTTCTGAACTTTCTGGACTTTTCTTTTAAACGTTTTTAAAACCTTCCTACGATCTTAATAAACAAGAAAATACCTTTTAAGCATTTTTTTTAGGCACGGAAACCACTTCAAATTACAAAAACATATGGAACTATATTCTCAAAACGCGGAGCACATTTCTTGCCGAGGAAAAATAGCGGAGTGATATGGACCGTGGGTACTACTTTCTCTAGGGCACCATTTGTGTTGCCAGCTGAACCTAAAAACGTGTTGCATAGTGTTTGAAAGACTAATTATTCATATGCTTTATAGTGACTGTAGGAAAAATATAATGTGTAACACGGGTGAAAAAGGCCTTTGCTGCACTCGAAAATAACTATTTTCCCATATCAAATGCATGTTATTTGGTATAGGAAAATTCGGTTTTTTGTTATTTACACTAAAACTATAAGAGATACAAAGTAGGTGTAAATTACAAAGTTGTTAAAAATTACAAAAGCTATAAAATTATGTGCACTTGACATGTGTTGCTATTTTAAAATTTTAAACAATGGGCATTTGCAAAATTTCAAAAATCTATTTTTTTTACCGTTAATTGTAGCATATCAAAGTAAAGCTAATTTCAAAACAAGTAAGAAACTTCAATTAGAGAAGGGCTAAGTGTATTAGTATAGGAAACACAAGAGTATTAAAAACATATTGATTTTTTTCCCAAAAAAACTGCCGCCATTTTGAAACAGAAAAAGATAATTAATTTCCTTTTTTCACCAAAATGTCTAATAAATACCTTTAAAATTATGTATAATATGACATAGGCCTATGTTTACATTTTAAGTAGTGACCCTCTGTTTTTGGCACACCCTGTATTGGAAAAAGATACAAATATTTTTACATTATTCCTTATGGTCGACTTAGCGGGAAATAATTGTATTTCATCCTTTTACGTTAAGCCGTTTTTCCGTAATATATTTGAGACACACCTTACGTGGGGCACCCTGTATAGCCTAGATAGTTTTAAGTTTCTCATCATATGTTTATAATGATTCAACATTTTTTATTTTATTTTTATATAACAACATATAATTTTACAAATGGCAGGAGTTGTTTGAGGACGAGGTGTCTTCCCACAGTGAATCGCCTGTTTCTTCCTCGAGTGCATCATTTGTTTCTTCCACCCGCTCGACGGAGGAGTACTTTTCAGAGCCATCTGATTGGTCGGATGAGATGGCCTTGTCGGCGCCTGGCAGCCCTGCGCCGCTTGCACCACCTGTGAGTCCTACACCTGCGCCCGCCCCTGCGCCTGTGCCCGTCATTGAGATACCTTCCTCCCCTGAAGCTCGGTTACCAGTCTCAGCAGGACCTCCTGTAGAGATTATTGTAACCAAACCTGTGGGTAAGTAAAGCTGGTTACCAAAGTTTAATTCAATAGGGTATCTATAATTCCCAGATATATCCAATCTCTCAAAGAACCCAATATTTAATTTAGGTTTTCACTCGCGGAATCTTATTATGTGTCTTTGATTGAACGTTCTAGTTTTTAGGAAGTAATAAATTGTCTGAACTATGAGACCCTCAAAACACAAAATTTCCCAATTTCTCTCCAGACCTTTTTAAAGAGCTTAAAAACAAATAATGCAGTAAATCAAAGTGTTTTTGTACAGTTATTAGTAATGGGAAAAATTCAAATATTGTAATTATAAAATTCCCATGTTATCCTTATGGAGAATATTGTAAAATGTTGTAGTTAGCTTGTTTATGGATATATTTTGACCAAACATGGTAAATTTTTATATATATTTTATACTAAGCTATTAATATTTTACTAAAATACTCACTTTATTAGTTTCCCTGTAGCAGTAAACCTAGGTACTTGTTAAACTTTATGTTATTTAAATATATTTAATTGAAAATCAATTCAGGCGGATGGAAATTCGCTTAGTTGGCAGGTTTGCTGCGGCAGGAGTATTTTTTTATTTATTTAACTATTAAATTTTATTCATATTTTAGCATCCTATCCCTTCTATTTGTATTGTAACAAAGTCAGATCCTGCTCTCAATAGACAATGAAACTTTTGTAGCTTAGAAATTATTAAATCATTGTTTACTTTTTCCTTGTTATTTTGTAAAAACAACATGGCTATTTGGCAAACCATAAGGCAAATTTAAGCATTTTAAATTTTCAAATGAGGTATGTAGTGTAGTATGAGACTTTCTAAGGTAGTGGCTTTCAAACATAAAGTTTTTACTTTTTTGGCCTACAACTCCTCAATTACAAACCAAGTTTAAATCCTTCAGCAGAAGATAAATTTCACAAACCCTCATATAAAAAATAGCTCTTATAAGAGTTCAGGATTATAACCAGTGACTATATAGATATACTATGTCTAGTTATTGTTTTGTATTTTAAGGATTATTAACCATATGTTTATATTCTCATATGACTATATAATTATTGTCCTCTCCTTGTTAATTTCAAATATTCAAATTGGAAATAAGCAACCTTAAACTGATTAACTATCACCAAAGACAAAATCTTAAATTCTTTGTTAACAGAATATTTTGACAAGTTTTAAAATGCCTTTGTCACCTTCTACACCATCGAAGTTGTATTTCAAAGGCTATTACAAATTGAGAGGTAAGATTGTTTGGTAGCCAGCCACTTAGAGACAATTAATTATGAATTTTTCCTAAACTGAAAAAGGCGAGCCCAATAACTGATTTTACAAAACTAGTATTAAATATACTTTTATTGTGTGATTAGCTTTACAAGATATTGTTGATTTTTATTCCTTTCAGGTAACATAATTTTCTAGTAAAATAAGGTTAGCTTTAGAATTTTTAAGGTTAAATTAAAATAATGTTTAAAATCATGCTCAGGCATTACAGTTGTTCTTGGCCGAATTTGATCTCTAATGTTAGTAGGCCTACCCTAATCTTGAAGTGTTCCTTTCCCTAATCTGGATAAGAATGGGATGATTTCTTTATCTGTCAAGATCAAAATGTGATTATAGTACTCGCTTCCAAATCTGAATAAAGCAGACACATGAACTGTGTGCCTAATGTTGAAAATAATCTTTGCAATTGTCAAATGTTCTGTTAAAATAATATTATGGTGATGGTGATGGTGAAGTAATGGTGGTCATGATTTTTTTTATGTGTATCTAATGAAGAATTGTTTATTGACATTTTTTTCTATATACCATACTGTCAGTTTAAATCATCAAGTTGGCTCAATGGTTAACCAGATAATCCAGCCACAACAAAGGGTCAATGAGACCATTGTAATAGTGTTGAGTAATACAACTACAGTAAATAAGTAAGCTCCGACTGATTAACCATCACAAAACCTTTTATTCATCTTTAACTGAATATTATAACAAGTTTTAAAATTCCTTTTTCCCCTTTGATAATCCACCTTTAACAACGGTTTTTATTATTCATTTTGTTAATAAACATACTTTTTCGAGACGTAGGAATTGGCTAACTCAGGAACTCGCTAACTCGGTCGTGTGTCGGAACTGGCTAACTCTGGAACCGGCTAACCGTCTCAGTCAGGAATTGGCTAACTCTGGAACCCGCTAACTCGATTTTGTCTCGCGGCGGAATTCGCTAACTCTGGAAGTCGCTAACCCGGCCGCGCCCACTACACGGAGCGTTGCCAACCTTGTACTACAAAATAATCGTACACTGCCGTATTTCAAAATGTCAGTGTCAATAAAGATACAGTAAATGTTATTGTTTTTCGTTATCAATTCCACTTTTAACACATAACTAGCCCAAAGTCATTCAAAGACAATTAAAAAATCATGAAAAAGTGTTTTTTAGCGAATTTCCCATATAGGGAATAAGCTATTACCGTAGTACTCATAGTAAGACCTGGACCCGGGACCGATTTACTTTTTCGTTTTGAGGTCCCTAGAGACCAAAAACACCATCCGTTCAAATTCATATATATATATATATTTATATATGTGTCCGTTAGCTCGATAACTCGAGCAAAAATCATCCGATTTTGATGAAATTTGGTACAAACGTGTAAACCTACGTTTATTCGAACGAGTTCGCAAACCAGCATGATCGGACTATGGGAACAGGGGTTTATGGGGGGTTTTATGAGGTAAAAATTGGTTTTTCCCATTTTTGACCCAAAAAACTTAAAATTTAGCAATTTCTTTCCAAACCATTTTGTAGAGCATAAAAAAAACAAATAATTTTGTATATTGAAGCGTTATTATGCGCCTAATGGCTACGGAGAAAATTTAAAAAATCTGTAAATTTAAAATTCCCATGTTATTCTTATGGAGATTAAGTAAACTGTTGTAGTTTGCTTGTTTATGAACATATTTTTATTAAATTTATAAAATGCATTCATTTCATACTAAACTATTACATTTTACAAAAAAACACCTTTTTACCCTCCCTGTTGCAGCAAACCTAAGTACTCTTGAAACTAATGTATTTAAATAGGGAAAATGTGATATTTTTAAGGAGACATTTGAGTCTGGCTCAAAATGTTACCTTAGTCACCAAATGATACATTGAACGAATGAATAATGGAAAAGTATCTTAACAAACTAAACAACCAAAACAATAGTATGACAAAGTACTATGACAACATTGGTCTCATCAATCGGATCTTATGACTGGATTACCTGGTCACCAATCTATCTTGACAGCTTTATATAAAATATGGGTATGGTACATAGAAAATATATGTCAAAAATCCATTTAAAACCAGATAGGACCGTTATAGGTTACTTTACTATCAACAAAATTTTCTTAGCAGAGATCTTTCATAGCAAAGATACAATGACACAAAATTTAAAAGGGGACAGTATTTTAAAATTGGCTCTCTGCAAACCCTTGATGATATGTTGCTGTTTCAGAGCAGGCCCAGTTGGATAGTTCTGTGTTGTCGGAAGGTGAGGATGGGTCACTCTGTACTATTTGTATGTGTCCTCTCACCAACTCCGGGACACACCGCGTAGTGTGCCTACGCTGCGGCCACATCTTCGGACAGGCATGCGTGGAGCGTTGGATAAAGGTGTTTTAAAACATACATTTACCAGTTGTTCACTAATTGATTAACCAGGCTATTTACATGGACTGTACTGTTGTCTATTATGGTACTCGTTAACACTTTCGCGCCGATCATTTTTTTAACTATTTATTACGTTTTTTAAAACTTTAAAGTTTGCCACCGGTGTACACTGTTACTATGGTGATTGTAAGCAACAAAACGGCATTTCAAGAGTCTTTGTGAAGGTTTTTAATATATATCCATGTTTGTAGAAAGCCACATGAAATATCTCCAAGAGAGTGGTAAATGAACCAAATTAAGATTACATAATAAAACACTAAGCTACAAAAAAATTTGTTTTATTTATCTCAACAAAAACACTTTTTTAAATATGAAAAATTGAACTATAAAGTAATTTTTTACTGTTCAAAGTCTGTTTAAGTTCATGGAATGTGTTTTCAACATGATGGCAGGGCGACGTGTACCACGGTTTAATTAGCATGATTATTATCTTATTTTGTTACTGAAACTGTACAGGTTAGTATTGCACAGTTGATAAATAATTAATTATATCTAACTATTCTTATAAACATACTTTTTTTTAGTCTATGGTAATTTGAACACAAATTTACTTTTGACTCGTGCGTCACCAGTGGCCACGTCGGAGCGAACGTGTTAATTCAGTGTTGCTCATAATAACGCTTTTCTAAAATAAAGTTTTGGACATTATAAGATTAGTTGGTGGTCTTGAACAGTATGACAAATGACAATTACGAAGTATACTGTCATTTCATGACAACCTGTAAAACTATTTTCAAATTTTAAACTTTTTGACTATAGGTGGGGTGTAATAATGGAGCCCGACGCTGTCCCACATGCAACAAAAAGGCTGCACTCAAGGACATTCGAGTGTTGTACCTGCCCAAGGTAGTGCCACTCGATACGATAGAGCGTGACAGAATCTTGCAGGAAAAGGAAGAGGTGAGTCCTATGATAGGCCTAATTTGTTTACTCTAACTGTGAAAAACATTTTCCTTCTCTTTTTCTTTTAAAATAAAAGGTTGGCGACTTATTTTCACCTTAAATTCGCCCACATGAGAATATATTGTGTGGAGTGCGAGTTTGCCACAGTTCCACCTGGACCGTAAAGGATCCTTGTGGTTGTGGAACCTATAGGTAAAGCAAGAAGTGAGCTGATTCAGTACAAAAATAAACTATACTTATTACCTTTTAGTAGAAGAACGCATAGCATTTCTGCCTTGGTATCACAATCGGTTGCACCACCGGTAATATTTTATAAGGAACACTGTTTAGTATCAGGTTATTAATAGAAAGTTTCTGAAGGTAATTGATTGAATCTGGTTAAGAATATTCCTTTGTTTCCATTAGTAAATTATTAATTTACTGTATTGTATACCCTCTTTATTATCTTTCTTCTTGTGTGTCATGCTATATGTTTTTTAAATAACTATTTCTTCGATGGTTTGTGCCAGATATACCATTCATTTGTCATCATTACAACTTTGCAGTGAATTTGCAGATATAACTTTTAAATGATTTACACAATACTGTTAATCAACAATAGGAAGTAAAACTTACACTCATTATTGTATGACCTCTTTTTGAATGTCTTCATTTACAAAGATAACTAAACAATGAACTGTTTTGTTTATTAATTTAAGACGACAACTGTGTATGATGTATTTATTAATGACTAAATGGATCAATACACTTTGATATGTGATGGACTATATGATTTCCGATTTCAGTTGGCAGCTCAGAAAAAAATGCTGGAAGCAGATTTTACAAGGACAGTTCTGCAGCACAAACTTGTTGTGGAGAGTTACGAGGAGAAAATCTCGAATTTGAAGAAGCAGTTACAGGAGGGACGGCCAAACGAGGATGTGTTGGCACCACTGAGCCAGGCGGCAGGGCTGGCGGTTGTTACAACTGTCACTATCAGTTCAGATGGAGGTTGCAGAGTGATGGCCTTCAACCCTATCCGTCAGGATCTGGTTAGTAAACCATCTGTTTTTCTAAATGTTGAATTATGTCAAGGTTGTGAACAGTTTTCTTATGTGTGTTACATTCAAGCAACTATTTACTAATTTTTGATGCAGTAATATCGTGTACCAGTTTACTGAACTATCAATTTTCCAATTTTAGGCAACCTTTTTCTAGACAACCATTTTTTAAAGGTAACTTATGCCTTTAGGCATATGGTCATAAACTAGTAGTTTTAGTCTTACCCTGTTGTAGTCTTCTCTATTTCTTGTTGATAATATTCCTATAAATATTATATTTTATAATATCCTATATAGAATTTTTGTTCTGTATGTTCTATTTTTATGTTTATTTAATGATGTTTTCTTGAATGTAAAATTTTCCGTCATGAAGTAATCCTTTGAAGGTAAAATGGTTTACGAGTTTTTAATCCTATTGAAAGCGGTATTTTCCCATGGGCCCCCTTGTTAATTTAATGTTTAAAATCTATTCTTGTTAAAATAGCGGATACAAAGATCAGATAAGCAAATAAAAAGTCACAGATGTTTTGCACGAGACTGACGTTGTTGTGTTGTTAGGTGGTGTCACAGCCCTCAGGCAACACGTTGTTTGCTGGGTTCGGTGTGCGGGTGCTCAACAGTGTGGATTGGCAACCTTCCAGGTTTGTGTTGCTTCACTCCAAAGCTGTACGGGACATACAGTTCCACCCGGATGACAGGGACATGATGCTCAGCGTCAGTCTGGACCAGAACGCTAAACTGTTCGACCTCGGCACAAACACCACTGTGCACACATTCAAAGGTACAGTTCTAGAGTACCCACTCTTTTTATGTTGGAAGTGCTTTGTTTTTAAATCTGTGGGAAATTTGTATCTTCAGCACTTGCGTACAAATGTTTCTCATTAAATTGCTGTAAATCAAATATTTTATTTGTGTATAAATGAAGTTAGTCGAATTGATACACAGAGATGCTAATGTGAATTACTGATTTCTGCTTAACGTATATTTTATAACCAAGCTGACATCTAATTTTAATCTACTTCCAAAACTTGCATGCTATAATGGGAGAAGATGGTTTTGTCTCTGGGATGCAGAAGATGTTGGCAAAGTAGCAGATGTTTTTGATTTCACCTTTATGTCGCTACATGTATGGATTATGTAGTCTAAATTTGCCATTAGCGAGAATTTGTATCAAACATTTTGAAATCAAACCAAAATGTACTTTGTTGTAGAGAAAAAAATTTCCCTTCCCTGCCCTGTACCTAAAATCAGAAATAAAACAAAACCCTATCCCTTCTTGAACTAAAGTACAACCCTGTCCATAACCAAAAAAATGTAGTTGTGTTAAATATAAAGTTTCTGAAATATATATCTTCATGTCGCAGTGGGAGGTCCGCTCTGGTCATGCTGCTGGGATGCTTCACATCCTCATTTGCTGTTGCTCGGCACCCAGACAGGCAAGGTGGTACAGTACGACCGCCGCATGACAGACACTCTTGTCAACCAATGGGAGATAAACAACAACAAGACACCCGTGGTCGCACTAGCTTCAACCCCATGTAGAGACCGTACACCCTTCCCTCAAGGTGGCTTCTTGTCTTGCAGGTCAGTAGCTGTAGAATGTTTGGAAGAATATTTTAGATATACATACGTCTAGGTACCAAAATATTTCCTCCCAGAGATGTCTTGCTTGCCTTGAGCTTGTGGCAAACTGATTTTTACCTGTCCCACCGTAAATTATAACTCTTTTCTTCCTGCAACCTAAATTTATGCCCACTTTTAAGATAGGCCTACAGCATCAACCACCACTAAGATAATAACTGTAGTAAATTTTATATGCATCTACTTGTAAACTCTTAGTTTTTAGTTTTTAAAGGATTATAGCAAAGAATATAAGTAGCCAACATTGTATTATGTTCCTGTTAAAAAGTTTCAAGAGCTAATGGTTTAAATTCAGTGTTAATTATAAGGCGTTCCGAAGTAATTTTAAACTGAAAACTGTCAAATAGTGAAAAGAACCTAATGGAAACCAACTGTAAATTTGTGAGTATATCAGTATTACTGATGGAAAAGAGTCCACCCTGTCATAGGAAACACAAATCACTAAACACTATACCATTACCAAAAAATTAAAATACTTCACAGTCACTTGCAGCATTTTAACCAAGGAAGAATGTCTTAAAGATCTTAAAAGAGCTGTCTTAAATGTTCGTTGCAGTCTTAAATAATTTAGTTTAATCTATAGACAATCGCTCTTGAATGTATATCAAGTAAACTGTGAAGTGTGAAGCGACTGTTTTCCCCTCTTTAGGAATAATGCTGTAAATAAGTAGTATCTGGTAAACAAACTAATACCTGAACTGCATTTGTGTAGACTCAACGCGGTTTACTCATACACACTGCAAGGGACTGACTACAATTGCTCCGAGCTGGGAGTGGAAGGCCCGTTCATGTCCATGAGGTACGACGGTGCAAAACAGATGATGATAACTACATCACGTGCCAGCAGCCGCTACGCTTACAATAGAGTTTCTCTCAGTTTACTGGACAAGGACGCCAACAAACAGGTGATTGTAACATGTGATCCAGAGTATGGCTAGTGGACATATCATTCACATGTTAAAGTTAAAGATAGTTTCAGAGAGGAAATTAGTGAAGGTGTATAAAATTCAAGGTGTATAAAAGAAGGTGTTTGCTTGCATGCTCATTACCCCCCACTCACCACTCCAAGCAGCCATAGTGTGAGGTAGTAGCTCTGAGCCAAGGCAAATAAAATAATGTCATTGAAAATCTTGGAAAATTCATATGATTTGGTCAAATAAAACACTTTCAGCAAGCAGTTTGTATGGGTGGCAAGCAATATTATTGCTTTTGTAAAAATATTTTATCAAGTTAGTTGCTGTAAAACAATCCAACTTTTTAAAGGATGTATATATTTTTTTATCAAATACCTTGGAATCCTTAGGTCGAAAGTATTCCTGATCTCCTGGAAACGACCCCAATAGTACAGTTTGGTCCTAGAAACCTCAAAATCCAATAACATGCAACATCCAAAATGTCAGCAAGGAATATGAAAGTAGTCAAACACAAAAACACAAAAAGCCCTTAAATAAAAATATAGTAGAGTAGCAATAAACCAGATAAGAGAGAGCACAATACAAATTTCCGTACAACAAGGTGATTCCAATGAGACTGTGTGATGCGTTCTTTCAGCAACAGCCTAAAACATGTAATTATGAAGGAAAATATTTCCAATATTTTCTTAAATAACTTCAGTTCCTTATTAGGTTGATTAGGTTAAATATGACTTTTTCAACACATAAATCGAGAGTTAAAAATATAACAACAGTTTGGCGTATTCTAAGTTAAAGGCTTTTAATCCTTACATGCTATGTTTTTGCAGGTTTGTGCTGCACTGATCCACTCATTCAATTGCGGCTCATCATCTCGTAACATGTCTCGGTCGACCTTGTTGCCGCACGTGGACGACTCACTGATGGTTGCTCATAATGAGAGTGCTCGCCTGCTCGACATGTGGAGTAGCAAACGAGGCGATCATTTACACAGGTAACACGGCAATTCAAAGAGTGCTTGTTTGAGTTGGCAATTAGTTTAGAACAAATCTAATTATTTAAAATTCACAACATTTTTTAAGTTCAACCTAGTTCATTGGCCCTTTCATGTACTAAATCTGTCAGCTCCTGCCCTTTATCACGCTCATCCATTTGCTACTTCTTAAATAAACATGTTTAGTTACGTATAAATTCAATCTAATTTAAAAACACTTAATGATGCTATGATTTTTCTTAAAAGTTAAATACAGGTACCTGAAAGTAGAGCTTTAGAGCTTTCTTTTTTCTTTTTTTCTTGATTGACACAATCAAGTTTGCAGTAAAAGGTTTTAATAATTTGTGGTTATTGTTGATAGAAAACCATGAATGTTGGCTACAATCCATCTTCATAGTGATGTCAATGGACCACAATTAAAAACAATGGTCGAAACACAATTCTGTGAAGGAAACGGCTGAAATACAGCACTTACCGATGCTAAATACTAAATACCGATACTAACCGATTGTGTTCCTTTGTGAGAACCGAGGTACAAAACAAATCAAAAATCGAATAAAAAAATCCTTTATTCAAACAGTACATTTCTATACATGAATTGTGTCAAGTCAATAACAAAAAATAATTTTACATTTGGTATAAGTTTGCATTATAACAATGTACCGTACCGAGCTGTACCCACCTCAAATCCCTTACATTTTCTGTTCCTCAGACCCTTATATGATTGTATGTACTGTTGCAGCTTTTAGTTTTTTTTAGATGCAATATTATCTACTCTTAGGATTCTAAATTTAAATAGTCCCACAGTCTAAATAATGTATCATAGCATGAACAGAATAGCGATATGAATTCAATATTCTTTTATAAATGTTTTGAAAGTTGCAAAAAGAGCCAACTAAAAACAATCCCACCTAATTAAATTAAATTTACTTCAAAATAAAAGGTATTAATGATTTTTGTTATTTTTTACAGTTTGCCAATTCGAGAACCGATCATTGATCTCACACCCGTAGACCTGGGCAACAACAAGCCCCCACTTCTGGCAGCTTTGTCAGAAAAGAAACTGACACTGTATAAAATCAACAGATAGGACACTCTAGTTTTATATTTATTTGTTTACTGATTGTTTTTAAGTTTGTTCATTTTCCACTCAGCATGTACAAAACTTGTTTTTTAAACTTTAAGACACAAACGTGCAAGTTTATTTTTATCTTCAGCTTGTTCACAGATTTTTTGGTTTTAGAAATGTAGAAAATATGACGATTTTGATACTTCATACTTAATAAAATAAAATTGACATATGCATAGATAAAAAGATTTATCAACATTAAAAATAAGGTAAACTAAGCAAAACCCCTAATTTACAGTTTAGTCTGTGATAAAAATTAAGTATTGTGTCATTTAGAATCATAAGCTCTCCTAAAAATCATTCAAAACAGTTCTCACACCTTAAAAAAAGTTCATATATTGTCTATAAAGTTGAAAGAAGTTGACTCTGCCCTCTTCTAATGTATTGGGAAGAGAGGGAGCTAGATAAGTGGTGGAGGTTGGGACTTCAGTCCCCAAGGTATCAGGTTCAAATCGTATCTATCACCAATGGATTTGATCGGAGTGATAATGCTGCAAAGACTAGGCTTAGCCTGAAACCATGTGAAAAAAATAATCCAGGACTGGAGCCTACCATTCTAGGATGTGAAGGTATGACAAGGCAAAAAATATACTGGGAAAGAAAGTTAGTAAAAAAAAGATTTACATTTCCTACCAGCTTTCAAACTCTTCTGTATGATTGACCTTGTGCACCTGGTAGTGAATGTGAAAGTAATATATTTTTCATAAAGTGTCTGATAGTGATAAGTCCATGAGAACATTTGGTTTTCTCTTTGCTTTGTTATAGCTTAAACTTAAAACGTACCTAATATATTTTTGTAACTATCACAACAATTATTTTGACAGTTATGTAAAAAATTGTTTATATTGTGAATACATTTTTGTTGATAAAAAAGTAAGTGTATTGCTGTCCTACCTGTCCAGTTTAAGACTTAGGACGTGTTTGTAAACCATGGATTATTGCCATGGGTTGTTCCATAGATTATTTACTAAGTTGCCGGGTATTGTTCAAGTTGTAAGCAGTACAACGTACTTGTTTAAATTTGTCTTACATTGGAAGATTGATTTTATAAAGCTATTTATCCCAACTGACAAGTCAATGTTGTCCAGCTTCACTCATGAAAACTGACAAATCCACCAGAAAAGTTAATTCCAAAAGTAGTTTCATTCGACCGGGCCAGGAATCAGAAAGAATTTCCAACCCTTAAAACTGATTTGCCTAGTAGGTAGCTCAGGGGATAGCGCCACAGAATGTATCAAGGCCCATGAAAACGGACAAATGTAATGTCAAAAGAGGCTAATCATCTCCTAGGAGGAAAGACCTTGACAGGGAAATTCAGTCTCAATAAGCCGAGATACCTTTTGTGTGACACAGTTGACCTAAGTGTTGTGTGTGGCAATGAAAATTAACGGTATCAGCAATCTGACACATACTTTCTCCCATTAGCTTGTCATCAACCTTTATCACGGGTAAGCAGTGGGAGTAGGTACCATTGATATTTTATAAGAAAATCACAACAGTGTCAATAACTCTTAAACTGTAATTTTTACAGCAATGGTAACGCCACTTTGTTTAGAATTCTAAGGACCATGACATACTAACTTTAATTAATACCAGCTTTTTTTAGAAAATATGTTTTCCTGTTTTTTTATGAGAAAATAACATAAGTTACAATAACTTTTGAGGAGTAATTTTTGCAGCTATAGCAGTTTTACAGTTTTTTTTTTCAGATTATAAAAGTCTATAACATACTATAACTGTATCAAAATATTCAAAATTGTTCAGGCCATTTTGAGAAAATTGATTTTCCCATTAATTTATGGGTTTTTATGGGAAAATCACCATCAAAAATCAAAATTAAAAACACCTGGAGATACCATGAATCTACATACCAAATCTATATAAAGCCCAAAAGTACCCATGAACTTTTGAGAAAACTACAAGTCACACCCCCATAAACCATATACTCAAAATGTTCGTCATGACGAGAAACCTTGCGCAAAACCATCTATTTTTTCATAAATTGTCCTTTAAGATCGTAATTCCTTTCTAAAGGTAACTTTCCATATACCGGTACCTAATGTTAAAAATACCTCAGCTGTATTCATTTGTATGTTATTCTTTCAATTTATTACCATATTAAAATCAGGTGAGATTATTTGTTTGTATGACTGTATTTTGTTTTGTTTATTTCAGCTTAACTAAATCAATCAATAGTTAGTTTTGTTAATACTGATGAAGTTAAGGCCCGTGGGTAACATCTAGTTTCATCAAAATTGGATTACAGGCCTCTGTACACATCCAAACACACAGACATTACTTACTCAAACATTTTGACGAAAACAATACTTTTCTCCATACAATGGTATAATGGGACAAAGTAAAAATTGTGTTGCATAGATAGCGCACCCCACCTAGGTGCATATTTTATCCAACCCAAATATGAAGGACGAATGGACTTGCGTCTCAGGAGGCTGGTCAAAAACCGATGAGAACCTCTTCTGCGAAGGAGTGGGGGATTGTGGTATCATGTCGATTTAAGTAAAATTATACAATTAATTTTTTAACTATAAAATTAAACTGTCATCAAACATGCTGATAATATAACAAAGATATAAGATAATAAAAATCAAATGAAGGTTTACTATTAAAAAAAAATTATAAATGCCTCAAATTCTAACAAAAGATGTACAGTTAAGAAGTAATTGTATTCTTAACAAAATCTTTGACAAAAAGTTAGTGTCACCGGTGGGCGGGGTTCGATTTGGTTACTTTATGGACATCAGCCGAGTACTCTTTCCACTTCACCACGAACGAACACCGATGGCTGCACTTGGTATCGTTGCGGTAATGGTGTTCCCTCAAGAGAAGAAAGTGATGTCACGCCCCCCACTATTATGGAAAGTTCTCATTTTTTTCTGACCAGGGCCCAGAGACGCTAGTTGTAGAATGGTATGAAATGGTTTGTGTAGCTTTGTTACTGGCTAAGATAGGCTGTTTTTCAGTCAGGATCATAAACCCAATGATCAGGAACATCTGGTCCAGTTTCGAACCATCAAAAAGCTATTGACAAACCTTTGATCATGGAACTGCTCAGTGCTCAATGCAAGTCAGGCTCGTGATTAACCACACATTCACTGGCTAGTGGATACAGCCTTTCATCATTGTCACCAGATTTATGCAAAATCTTGACAAAAGTTGAAGGTAGTAAAATGTAAAGCAAAAGCTGTGTATGGATGTGTACAGAGCTACAGATCACAACTGTGGTCTGATTTCGGTGAAATTTGGTATGTGAGTACTAATCCATGGTAAATCAAGACGTGTTTTTATTTGGTGAAATTTAGATTTTTAATGGTGATTTCCCCATAATAACACAGCTACTCACTATACTCCCACATTAAGAATAAAATAAAATCAATCTTTATTTTAACAAATAATAATGCAGCATTACATACAGTATACTGTCTGTTATCCACGGGCTTCACCCAGTTTGACTTCATAAGTATTAATTAAACTGATCGGTTAAGTTAGGCTGAAATAAACAAAACAGAATACAGTAATAGTAATACCAGTAATACAATAGTTACTAGAGAACCCGTGCGACTCAGAGCCGCATAGTATGAAACATAACGCCGAGGAAAACTTTATGCTTAAATTCGAGTAATTGTAGCTACAACTTAGAGTTGTTTAAACACTTGTTGGAGACTAATTTAGCATTGATTGTGTACATTTTAAATATGCGTCGTCAAGGTTCACCAGCATTAGTTCTGCTCTCAGTTTTAATTGATATAACTTCTAATGAATGCTAAACGATCTGCTTTAATTTGAGTTAACATGTTGCAACACAGTTTTTCCAGCTTTGAGAATTGGCGAAAACTGTTGCCTTACTGATAACCTATGTTTAGTAATTTAAGTTGTGTCAATTGTAGTTATTTGTGCAACTATAGTTCGGCCGCTTAGAAAACGACCTGCGCGCTAATGCTAAACCAATGCTGGAGGAGGTCGCTTTCTAAGCGGCCGACCTATAGTGAGCAATTGCACTTTGCACTCGAGTTGCACATTATATTTTTCCTACAGTTAGGGCCTACCATAAAACAAATAAATTGGTAAAGAAACGTAACATATTTTTACACAGAAGTGAACTTTTAATGTGACATTTAATGATTGACAACAGCTGACCAGCTGATTTACAGCCAGTGCTGCCAACGTATTTCGCCTGCATACGACCTTGTCTGCATGTTACGCGCTCACTATTTCGTGCCTTCACGTTGCAAATCTGGAGTGAGACAAAGTAATTAGAGTGAGACAATGTTAACATTAATTGTCTCACTGGTGAGCGAATTGGCCACTTTGCTTTCTCAAATCAGTGAGAGAACATGTACATTGTTAAGTAACTGTAGGGAAAATAACAACAGTAACATCGTGGGCTCGCTCAGACCTGAGACACCCTGTACATGCTACGAATGGAGCACATCATCAGGTCAGAAGAATGTCAAGTAGTCTTCATATTCCTCGCAGTGGAGTTCGTCAAAAGTTTAATAATAAATAGAGAACAAAACACATAACACACGGAAACACGAAACATTTAATATTGGTCGACCAGACGACGGTAACAACACACGTGATACGGCGCCGGTTGAGGGTGAGTCGCGACCCTCAACCGGCGCCGTATCACGTGTGTTGTTACCGTCGTCTGGTCGACCAATATTAAATGTTTCGTGTTTCCGTGTGTTATGTGTTTTGTTCTCTATTTATTATTAAACTTTTGACGAACTCCACTGCGAGGAATATGAAGACTACTTGACATTCTTCTGACCTGATGATGTGCTCCATTCGTAGCATGAAACAGCTGTAGTCTACTAACTACAAAGGATCGTTTTGACAGTAACAAGGTAATTTAAACCACTATATACCCTGTACATGATTAATTTTAGCATTGAGTATAAACATAACGTTACGTTTATACTCAATGATTTTAGTGTTTATTAATATTAGGTGTAGGCCTATCAAACATCCTCATATGAATTGGCTGAAGAAAAATTTTAAGAGGACTAATGTTGGGTCTATTTTTTGTTTATAATTGGTTTCTTGTTATATATGCGAATTTTAAAACCTTTTTTACCGAATATAAAAATACATTGAAAATTGTATTTGCTTGTCCTTTGATATTATAAACTACCACAGTAAACCATAGATAAAACCATAGACTAAAATGATTTATCTATGATAAAACTTAAACATAAAGGGACTATGTTTTATCTATGAGTAAACGGTATCAGCAATCTGGCAAACACTTTCTCTGTACACACCTACACACACACATCACTTCAAAAAACCTTCTGGGGTATAATAGCCTACCTGGGGCCCATTTCATAATAAAGTACAAACTAATATTATTAGTAAATCAGCTGATCGCCCAATGCAAATCAAATGGAAATTACAAGTTACAAGTTGTAACTTGTAACTTGTAGTTTATTTAGTAATTATTTACCTATTTTGCCTGAAGGTCTTGTAGTTAACACTCGATTAATCGATTAATCGAGTGTTAACTACAAGACCTTCAGGCAAAATAGGTAAATAATTACTATATAATACAGGTCTTGTCACTGGGTTCAAAAAAAAAAAAAAAAAAAAAAACATTGTAGTTTATTATGAAATGGGCCCCTGGTATATGGTGGAATTATTGGGAGAAAGTAAAAATGAAACACAATCGACCACAATGAACCATACCCATACTATTTTAAATCAGTGAGAAACATTTAGTCAACATCAGCTCAACCAAACACGTTACCACTCACACACATCGCAGACTTATAATTTGATAGAGACTTTAGAAATCCGTGTTCTGTAATTTAATTAAAGGGTTGAATAGTCATCATAAAATTCGATTTAGTGCAGTTTAAAATTAATAATAAAACGAAGTATTGATTATACTTTGTTGTAACTATAACCAATGACTGACTGAATCCAAGCAACCGTGTCTATGATTACTTATTTTAGTGATGCCTCAGCAAACTCCAGCTGATCGTATTTCGTCTGTTGTTGAGTGTTGTGTTGAGTTGAGCAAAGAAAAAAAAAACACTCGCCCAGACAGACGCTCCATAACGTTAGTCTTTAGTTTTTAATTTTTGTAATAACATTATTTTATTCTAGATCTAAGAAAGCTTTATATTGAATTTATAATCTAAAAAATAGTTCAAGGTAAGCTTTTTATCATTCAAAGTAAACTTATTCAATTGGAGTTTAACGTTGAAAAAGTGCAAGTTAAGTTTGGGCCTACTTCGTTTCAGTAAAATCTGACCTTTGGATTTCTTTTGTTTATGTAAAACCTGCATGATACCTTGTAGGAATATCTTACTAGAAACTCAGGTTTCTAATTTGGTTCTAATATTATTCATCAGTCGCTTCATGACTGGCTAATAGCAAAAAAAAAGTAAGTTAGGTCTGGACATTAACTAAGGTAGGCTAAGTTAGGCCCTAAGTACCGTACATTAGCAGACACCTAGGCCTAGGAGGGAGGATCACATTACTATGTGAAACTAGTTGTTATGGCTGTGCTTCGCTACGGGAAGAAAATAAAAAGGAGTAGGCCTAGGCCTAATGTGTTTTTATACAATCAACTGTAAAAAACAGTCAAGACACTTAAGTGGATTAGGCCAAAGTTCAGGCTAGTCCTAAGTTAACTTACCGGTATGTTAATAATATTTTTTTCAATTAACTATTTGGTCTCAAATGGCATGAAATCCCATAAAAAGTGTAGTTTATAAATGTACATTTTTTGTGTTTTAACTACCACGGTGAGAAGGCCGAACGTCCTGAAGATATATGCAACCTTTTTGCTGATTACTTTTCATCAGTTTACCAGCAGGCAGCAGTGACCCCTCCAGATTACGATTTCAAAACAACTGAATTTTAACTCTTGCAACCTAAATTGTTACAACGATGTTCAAAAGACGCTTTCATCTCTTGATCCTTACAAGGGAACGGGGCCTGACCTAATACCTCCACGTGTACTGAAGTATTGTAATATGCTACTGGCTCCTCAATTGACACAGGTCTTCAATCTTTTACTTCAAGAAGGAATCTTCCCGGATTCATTAAAAAACCAGCTTCGTTGTACCCATTCCCAAAGTTCGTTGTACTCTTCCAAGATGTAGGCCTAAGTGACTCCAGGCCGATTGTTATTCAACCCACCTTGGAGAAAGTTTTTGAGAGGACTGCACTTTACTTTAGGTCCTACACTCATTCAAATGAATCGATTATTCGATTGTTTCATTCGATATATCGTTTGGTTAGGTTAACCTTACCTACGATATATCAAATGAAACAATCGATATATTGATCGATATTTTCATTCGAATGAGTGTAGGACCTAAAGTAAAGTGCAGCCTTTGAGAGTCCCGTTTTAGACCAAATAAAGCCCATTTTTGGCAACCTCTCAACTCACCAGCATGGGTTCTCGACTGGCAGGTCAACCTTGTCCAACCTAGTAATCTACAGTACCAGTAAGTTACTTCCTAATTTCCAATGTGTCGATGGGACTTCAGGTCGACAGCATACTTGGACTTCCAGACAGTGGCGGACTTACCATAAGGCACACTAGCAGTGTTTCCATTTGCGGGATCATTATCCCGAAAACGGGACTTTTAGACCTAGAGCGGGATTAAAACGAGATGTAGGATAAAACGGGATTTTCGGCTGTGACGACTATTTTAATTTTTTTCTACTTAATTTTAGAGAAAAATTACTTAGCCCAACTTCAATTGATTAAAATAAGTATTTAAGCAAAACAATAATTATTATTGTTTAAACTACTTTTTTAACATTAGGCTAGGCTATATGTCAAATATAATACTTGGGATTGTAAAAAAAATAAATAAATAAAATAAAAATAACATCAAAACAAGCTTTAGATTGTGCAACAGTGTAGTTACACTATCCAAAGACAATAATTATAAATTAGACTAATTTTAACTGTGATATAGGTACATAGGTCTCTAAAATTTGAATTTGATCGCAGCATGGGTGGAGATCATCACGGAGAACACCACCACAAGACAGTGATTCCTGACTACCGAATCTACAAAGTGGAGGACGCACCAGAGTTGGTCAGAGTCCAGAAGGAGTTGGCCAAATTAGGCCTCAAGGACCCATGGCTCAGGTGAAAACTCATTAACTCAATGTTGAAAATTTAAAGTGAATACCCTGTTGTATCTAGGGTTTCATGTTGATGAATACTTAATGATTAATGAATAATTATCCTATTAGGCTAATTGGTGACTAATTCGTATTATATTAGTAGGCCTATTGAAAATGTAGGTTACCTTACAGACATATGACCAATCTTTGGCTAAAATCAATGAAATGTGGGGGTTTTGAGTATGTTGCTAGCCTAGTGGTTAGGGTCTCAGACTTCGTGGGGGGGGGGGGGTGAAGGGTTCATTTTTCCGCTCATCCATTTATTCATTCATCATCCACTAAACATTTATTCTCTCGTGACCTCCATTATCAAATGTCAATGGCATAGATAAAAAAATGTTATATATAAGCCCCGTTCACACGGGGCGAGTTTACAAGCTACCCAGCTGTATTTGCGGCTTTTTTAAACGCAGCTAGTAAAACAGCTCAGTGTGAACATCGTCCTCGCTCAAAAGCTGCTTGTATAAAAGCTCTGGAAAAAGTTTAAGCTCCCGCTACTTAACACGTTATCTTATCTCTTATATATTTATCGCAAAAATCTGTCGAGATAAAGTAGTTTCAAATTGTCTTGGGTGACATATTTTAGTACTTTAATGATAATCAAAAAATTATTTATGACTCATATTTCTGGTGTTCATTTGAAACCCATTTAACCCTTAAACGCGCAAGTGGGGATAAGACATATAACCACGTATGGTAATTTTGTCATAATTTTACAAGTATGGTGGCAACCCTGGTGAGCATAACAGTAGTTGCCTAAAATAGCATATGCTCTCATCTGGCAGCAGGGTTGTTAGTCTTGATCGAGTCATTGACGTGTTATCACCACCCTGGGTCTGCCATACCCCCACGTGCATGCTTGTGTTACCAGCACTGTGTTCATTGGGGGTCCAGTGCGCGTAGTAGAGTCTCAGTTTTATTATCATAATTAGTATTCGTAACTTTATAACTTTATCATTTATAATTTTCATAGTAGGTATTGAAAGTTTGCCAAAAAAACTTAGTGTCTGTAAACCAATTGGATGGAAATGACCAACCATAGAGTCATCTATGGAGTGATCCAGCCTCCCAGTAAAAGGCGTGGTGCACCTTTTGCCTTGGTTTCAAGGCGCCAAGACCAAATTTAGTGTAAACTTACTTACTTACTTACTGCTGTGGCCTCTGGTACCCTAGATGGTACTTGGCCTCCCCAACACACTGCCTCCATAGGTCTCTGCTTCTTGCATCTTCCTTCCTTCTCCCTAGCTTCCTCAGGTCTTTCTCCACTTGGTCGAACCATCTAAGTTTCGGTCTTCCAAGGGGTCTTCTACCTTCTGGGTTATTCCTCAAGATGTTCTTTGATAGGGAGTTGTCATCTTTTCTTAGAATATGCCCTGCCCATCTCAGTCTTCTGCTCCGTACCTCAGCGACAATATCTGGATCCTTAAATAATCCCAATTATGTCTCGATCTCCATTGTCCATCCTCAAAAATCGGTCCGTACACTTTCCTCAAAATCTTGTTCTCAAATACAATAGCTTTCCTTTCTGATTTCTTGCTTAAGATCCAATTTTCCGAACCATACAGGAGAACTGGTCTGATGATTGTCTTATAAATCCTGAGTTTGGTGGTGTGGGATATTATTTTTGAAGTTAGTAACTTGTGACAGGCCGAAAAACTTTTTTGTGCTAGGTTTAATCTATTTTGTATTTCTAGCTCTTCATCATTATCGCTAGTGAGGATGACTCCCAAATACTTGAAATTTGTTACTATCTTAAATTTATACTCTTCAATTTCAATGTAGTTGTTATTTTGGTATCTTGGTTGGTCATCATCTTGTTTTCTTCCACATGTCATAAACTTGGTTTTATCTTCATTTATGTATAGCCCCATTTTTCTTGTATGTTCAATAAGCATTTTTGTTACATCTTTCATTTCTTCTATATTATGTGTAATTAATACTATGTCATCTGCAAAAGCTAACAAGTTTATGTTTGTTCCTATCTTAATCCCTACTTCTGTCTTTCTTATCTCCTGGAGGGCTGTTTCTATGGCTAAATTGAACAGCAATGGAGATACCCCGTCTCCCTGCCTCACACCCGTGTTCACCTCAAAGTCTTCCGATACGTCTCCATTTACTCTAACTTTGCACTTAGAACCTAAAACACTCAATTTTGCTAGTTCTATAAGTTTTTTTGGTATACCTAGATGCTCCACGTTTATCCACAACTTCTTTCTATTTATGGAGTCATAAGCCTTTGAAAAATCAATGAAGAGGCAACAGAATGATTTGTTGAATTCATAATACTTTGCTATTGACTCTTTAAGAATGTAGATTTGATCCGTCGTTGATCTGCCTCTGCTGAATCCTGCTTGATGCTCTCCAACAATATCTGTTGTGTATTCCTCTAGTCTTCTCTGAACTATTTTGGAAAGTATTTTGTAGGTGACATTTAGGAGAGATATGCCTCTGTAGTTATTGCAGTCTTTTTTGTCTCCTTTTTTGTGAATTGGTATAACTAGGGCTTCCTTCCATTCCTTGGGTATTGTTTCTTCTCTCCAGACCTTGAGTATTAGTTTGTGGATTATGATTTAGTGTAAAACCTTAAAAAACTAATGTGCCAAGGAAAAATGTAAAATATTTGTGAAGTGTGTTCAAGAGTAGGCCTGTACTGTACTTAAAAAAAAAAAACACAAATTACCAAAGAAAGTTTTTAATTTCTTAAATTTTTGTTCAGTATTTTATACAAACCAGGAAATGTATTAATTCATGAAATATTTACTGTTAAATATCAAAAACTTTTTTATATACCCATTTTTATTTGGGGTCCACTAGACCCCCGTGCGCGCTAAGAGTCCTTGGAGGCTAGCGGTCATCTTGGATGATTTCAAACAGCGGTTGAAGAGTTATTTATCGTCCAAAAATATTTTTTCAATCACCAAAGTGACTATAATTGCATCTAGTATACTGTGAGATTAGAAAATGTTCTTTGTAGTTTTGAGTTGTTCTCCAAGGGAGTCCATGGAAGCTAACAGCCATCTTGGATTTGCCAGCCATAAGAGCAATTTTAATTTTGTTGATTTCAAACAGCTACTGAACTGAAGACTTTTTTTCTGTCCAAAAATATTTTTCAAACACCGTAGTGATTGGAATTTAAATAGAGTATAATGTGAGATAAAAAGTTGTCTTTGTAGTTCTTTAATTGTTTTATGAGTTAGAACGTCTAGGCTCCAAGGACTCTTAATGGTTAATTGGCTTCATTGACCTAATCCTCTCGCCTGGCTCAAACTAGCAAATAGAGCGATATATATTCTTCTGACACTCCTCAGTTCTGCACTAAAGAGCAAATGCAACTCCTGGTAATTCAAGAAATGAAAGATCCTAAAAGTCAATGCCCCCGCCACAGCAAACATGTAGATTAAGCGAATTCCAACTTGTCTGATTAAATTTTACAAAAATATTTCCATAAATAAGGCATACTTATTCCCCATTTAAATAACATTAGATTTAACGAGTGATTAGGTTTGCTGTTACGGGGAAAGTAAAAAGTGTTTTTGATTAAATAAATAAATTTGCCAAATTTAATTAACATATCTATAATCAAGTAAACTGCAACAGTTTTCATTTTCTCCATAATAATGACATACAAATTTCAAAAATACACGTTTTTAGAATTTTTTCTGTAACTGTTAGGCTTACAACAACGCTTCAATATACTAAACTATTTCCTTTTTTAAGCTCTACAAGATGGGTCAGAAAGAAATTGCAAAATTTTATGTTTTAGGGTCAAAAATGGGAAAACCAATTTTTACCCCACGAAACCCACCGTAAATCCCCGTTTCCAAAGTCCAATCATGCTGGTTCGTGAACTCATTCGAGTTTATCCTCCAAGGTTTGGTCAAATGTCATCAAAATTGGACCAAAATTACTCAATTTTACAGAGACATATCTGTATATTTAATACCCTAAATGATTTTTTTGTGGCATTTAATTTGAGAGAACGGCTGGGCGTAGAAACTTGAGTGAGGTGTCTAAAGAAAGGTCTTGGTCTGTAGATGAGCCATCAACAGAGAAACAAGGTCAATTCCAATGGGGCTCTGTCCCAGTGGCTTTTAAAATCCCATTCTTATGTTATTCTTATGGAGAGAAAATCCGGGGTTTTTGTCATAGCTAATTTGAGAGAACGGCTGGGCGTAGAAACTTGCCAGGGGTGTCTAAAGAAAGGTCTTGGTCTGTAGATGAGCCATAAAAAGAGAAATTAGCTTAAACCCCTTGGGGCTCTGCCCCAGTGGCCTTTAAAATTCCCTTCCCATGTTATTCTTTTGGAGGGGGAAAACAAGTTGTTGTGGCAACTAATTAGAGAGAACGGCTGGTCTTAGAAGCTTGGAAGAGGTGTCTAAAGAAAGGTCTTAGCTATTAACATCACAATTAAAACCCCACTTTATTGCCTTCTTTTTAGCAGCAAACATAAGTACCCATCAAAATCAATGAAATTTAAATTTTAAAAAATCTGATAATTTTAAAGGAATATTTTAGTGAAAATCCAGCTAGGTGAATAGAAATTGCTTAGTCTGCAGGTTTGCTGTAGTAGAGGTATTAAAATAGTACCGTAATATAGTAATAGTGGTTTGGTTGGTTGGTACCTTGCCTTAAAAAAACATAAAAGCAGTGGTCTAAACTTTGATACTAGTGACTCATTTTGTTGACCTCTCATTTACCGGTCAGTCAACCTCTGAAAACTTGTAGTTGAAACCCATAAGTATAGTCAACTCTTTGACATTCTTGTTTTCAATCTATTGTACTTTTTCAGGAATGAAGTTTGGAGATACAATCGTAAGGAGTTTGGCACCCCGAGCTCAAAGATGTCAGCTATGTTTTCCAAAGGTTTCAAGTACGGTTTGATCCTATTTGGTATCACAACTGCTATTGAGACAGCTGCCGACTTTTTGAACCCGAAGATGCCTCATCATGGTCACCATTAATCTGTGTAATGTTAGTATAGTTGAATAAATCTTGTATAGTTGCTGTTGTAAAATGGCTTTAAATACCATAAAACCTTCTCCTTTTCTGTAAAAAAGCCTCATCAAACCCCACCCAAAAAAGGATCATTTTTTCAATGCATAGCTGGGAAAATTTTAATTGACATAATCATATCTTTTTTACCATTTTAACCACATTCTTTTTATTTAATTATTTTATTTTGAAAGTACATAAGCTCTATTGCCAATTTTTATTTATTTATTTAGGTGCTTCGCCGCAAAAGAAGAGCTTGGGAAACAAATACTGTACCTTCTTTGATATCAGCTGTCACAGAAAATAGCTACTTTCTGTACGGGGTGATGAAAAAAAATTTTTTCTTCATACTGTAGCAAAAACAGCCGTTTTTAATACATGCGTTGCGGGTCTATAGTATCATTTTTACTCACAAGGGAGTAAAAAGCACTTTTAGTCCTTAGAGAATAAAAATCAGCTTTTTAAATAGTTGAAAATTTCAATTCTGTTGGCAATCCCATGGATCAAAATTATTTATCAATTGATTTATCATGCTATGTTTTGAATTATTGTTGTATTCTTGTCAATAGTTCTACGTATTGACGGTATAACGTATATTAACACAATCTTAATAGACTAAATGATTGAATACCTTATGAAACAGCTGCTTATTTGCATTAGTAGGATTGGAAACAAGCTGGAAGTTGTTTTGAGTGGTTATCTTCTTTAAATGAAAAGTTTTTTTTTGTTTTCTAGCTTAGTTAATTATTGATGCAATATGACGGAAATATAGTTCACCACACAGGCAAAAAGTGTCTTTTCAACCTTCGTTCATTTTCTGGCCTCGGCTTCGCCTCGATTGTAAAACTTGAGCTCAGATCGAAAAGAGTCGCACTTTACGCCCTAGTGATGAAATCTACTATTCTTACTACAAATATTTTACTTACTAACTCCACTTTTATTTTTCTGTTAGTCATTTATTTTAATGAGTATTTTCACTTTTTGACTACTATAAACAGTACTATGAGCCAGGTTGGTCGAGTTGTAACCCATTGACTTCCACCTCTGCATTTCTCATTTAGAGCAATCACACTCAACCCATACCCTCTCCTTTGCAACATTCCCCCTCGTTATTTTCAAAAGTCACCACCCATACCAACTTATTGTTAGTGGTCCTTTGACTATAGTTTCACTGCAGTTTTAAGTAGGCAACCCTACCCCATGTCAAGGATGGCCTATTGACAGTTTTAGGGTAAAAAATAACTGAGTTTCAATTGGACTCGTGACAGAGTGCACTGCTGTCTTCTGTCTTATACACCAACTTATAAATTATGACAAACTGATAGGCTTGATCTCTATGCACTAAAGTAACTTATATTTTATTTCCCCATTTTAACTATTTTAGTATAGAAATTAAAAGAAAAGAAAACTGCAAAAACAATTATAATGAAAACTCTTATCAGATCAGCACAACCGTAATGAAAAGTATGGGGTACCTTACTTAAGAAATGTGTCAACTAAAGGTACCACTATATTGTTATTTTAACTTTGACAATTAAAATTATGTGGAATGAAATGAAGACGTAATTAGAATGCACAACAATAGAAAATATTAACAATACTCTTGATTTTATTTGTTGGCAAAAATTATATATAACATCGATACAAATTTAAGCAACAAAAACTATACTACTTATTATTAAAATCACTATTAAGATAAGCTGTTTTCAATCACATTTTTTATTAGTTTCATACTTTTTTTCTTAGGATGTTAGGCTCAAGCCCGGGATTGATTTTCACATTACAGTACTCCAGGCTAGACCTAGGGGTTGCAGCACTATCACTTAGATAAAATCCATTGGTGATTTGGCAGGATTTGAACCCGGGATTGAAGTCCCGCGCTCTAACCACTAGACCAGCTCGCTCCCCCGTTGGTGGTATTAGTTTCATACTAGGCCTAAATACTATAGTATACACTGGGTGATAACATACTTTGAGTAGTGTAGGTAGTGCACTAGAACCCTGCTAAATTATTTACTCATCTTTAGTTACATTCATTCTCAAAAATCAATATAAGTTAACGATGATGGTCTATTGTACTGGAGATTTTTTTAACCTGTTGGGGATCTGCAGTCTTAATTTATAGATAGTCATTTTTAAAAATAAATTATATTTTAACATTACCATCATAATGAACATTGACTATTCAAAATATAATTCAGAGAATGTATTCTCTTATATTTAGGAATTTATTTTTGAAGAGTCGATAGTATAATTTTTTAACCCTCTATGAGATGAATCTGAGTATTACTGTTTCAATCTAAAAACATAGTAGAATCTAAAGAGTAAATTTTTGGGAATAGCATACAAACTACATTTAACCTACCATGTTTGTATTTTTTTTATGAAAACACATCATAAAATTCATAAAGAGGTTACTTTGAGTGTCAAGCCGTCAAATGTTCTCATACAATTTCATATGTGGTCAAATACATTTCTAAGTTGTAGCATTATCTATCCTATTTATATTCATTTATATAACACACCAAATACAAATACTAGACTTAGTGAATTATGTCATATATGTTTTAAGCTTTTTTTCACTTTCCTAATCACTATTTTAAACTTGCACATAGATTAAAGCTATTATTGGGATTTTAGTGACAACTAATAAAACGTTAAGCTTTTTGCCTCTTCTCAAACTTGAGCCACATTCCTCCCTTGGGTAAGGGAACAAAGGATCGTGGATCCAGCTTGAGTGGAACATGTGTCTTGGGACTCATCGTGACTGTGAAGTTAGCCATGATCCTTGCCACCGAGACCTTTACCTCCATAACTGCGAACCTCATGGCTGAAACATCGTAAATTTCTTAAATACCACATTTTGAATGATAAGATAATACGAGTTGTAAATCAAGAATGAAGATAGCCTTGAACAAGTCTGCTTTTTCGCAGTGAGTTAAACCGGTGATTGTGTTTTATAGGTGCATTAACTAGTTGTTTGGTACTACAGTAAACTTGGAGAAAACCATGCAATGGCTATATTTGGATTTCTAAGAAAACAAACTATTAAGTGTTGCACCCTTTCGACAGGACAATTTGAAACTGACTATAAGGCTTGATAACACTCTGGCTGATTATAACCGACAGAATTTAATATATTACAGTTACCAATAAAATGAAAACATTTTTCATATGTGTTTAAGCAGTGGTTGATATTTTAATTTAGATTAGAGTAAACAGTGATGATTGCTGTTGTCTGGTTTAAAAAATAAAACATGACTAATTAAAGCAATGCCTTGTTGAAAAATATCCAGGTATAACAGAAATGTTTACTGAGAGTGTAAGCCAGATAAATTAGCAGCCAGTTAAAAGGCGGATGTTAAGAGTATGATTGCTGTATTTAACTTTGAGGATCGTAGACTTATATAAAGTAAAATTACTCCCATCTTATTAAACTTTCTGCAATTTTAAAAGAACTGTTTCATATTCATTAAACTCCTTTGGATGAATACTGTAGGAGTTAAAGTTGCCAAATTTCCTAACCTTACATTTGCTGAAAACTCTGCACACCGTTGGATTATTGAGTGTCAACTGTACTTTGTGTCTTGTGTTTGTAAATCAAAATAAGTACTCTGTTGTCCCAGCTCACTTGTGGTGTCAACTTACCAATACATATCCTGGGGCCATCGCCGAATGGCAAGAAAGCTGGGTTGGGTTTGAAGTTGTTGCCTTCGAAGCGATCCGGGTTGAATGTTTCCGGGTCTGGGTAGTGCTGCGGGTCAAGGTGCAGACCTGCTACAGGGATGGTGACAATGACTCCCTTCTCTATGACCAGGTCACTGTCAGGTACCTTGTAGGTCTTGGTACACTCTCGCTGCAGCAAGGGTATGATGGGATACATCCTCTGTGACTCTACAAGTCAAAAGTATAAGTTGTAGGTAAAAAATTTGTTAGTAGTCAAAAAAATAAAAAGTATTGATTAATCTAGTAAAAACATTATTACAGGAAAATCCCGACTAACCGAAAAAGGAGGGATACCGTTTTGGATAACCTATTTTTCAGTTATTCATTTATTTGTAAACGGATCCACAACTTTTTGTTCAGTACAGTAAATACAAGATTTCTGTGTGACAAGTGACAACTTAGTTAAGTACAAGCAGTTAAAAACGGGAGACAACAAGAATTATTCAACTCTAAAGGCTATTTTAGTTCAAGAGATCTACAACAACTTTTTACCTAATTAATTTCATCCTAAAAATCTACTGTATACACAAAATATATTTTAAAATTAATCTACATACAGTAGTTTTTAGCACTTATTCTTTGTCACAGTAAGAGTAAAACAGTAGTGTCGTCTGCTCCATTACATTCTGTTGGGCAAGCTGGGGGGGACCCACACCTTGGCGATCAATTGCAATTGCCTCATTTTCCAATTGATTTGATCTTTTACTGTGGTTTTGGTTAATGCGGCTTTTTGTTTAGTGGGGTGCAGTTTAGCGGTTAAAAGGGTTTTACAGTACTTTGCGTATGTTTATTCCTTGAAGCCATCACTTGACTTTAAACTATTATTTGGACAAAGCATAATAATATTTATAGAATTTTAAATATTTTATAGAACACCTAAAATAATTTTTTTTCTTAAAAAAAGACCACAACTGCCTTTCACTATAGACTAGTTATCTGTGTGGTGATCTAAGACAAAAAGTACAAAGACATACCAGTGATGAGCTCAAGCAGTGATAGATAAGATAATGCATGCAGGTCTCGGTCCAGAAATATCTGGTTAATCATAGCCAGAGACGCTATCACTTAGCTATTGTGCTCAACATACGTCATATTAATAAATAAAATACTATGTAGTCATAATAGTATTTTTGGATTCAGCTCACCGTACATTTTTATATACATATATCCATATATAAAGCCCAAAGTACCCATGATCTTTTGAGAAAACTACAGTCACACCCTCATAAACCGTAAACTTAAAATGTTCGTAATGACAAGAAACCTTGCTCAATACTATCCATTATTTCATAAATT